GTTATTTTGACGAGGTCTGACTCAATGTAAGGGATTGCTCATTTTACTCACGAGATTGGCGAAACGTTTCGATGCTGCCAATCGTCCAATTTTGGAAATTATCACGGCTACTAAGGCATGACTTTGTGCCTCCTACAAAATCTTTATGCCACACTTTCCAAGTTGCGATGATGATGCTATATCATCGATGTGCCTTGGAATGATTATCACAGCTATATTTTTTAATATCAATAAATTTAAAATATTCGATATTTATAGTGTTGTTTCGACTTTGTTTTCGCAACTTGGTCGCAACTCGTGGAATGTACCTAGTCTATGTCATCTGCTATAGTATTCGTGATTTCCAGCATTAGACCATTGGCTGGGTACATTCCCAAACGTTTCGCCGGCATCATCAGTGAAAGGCGCCACCGTAAGCACATAAATAATCGTATGTTAATTATAGCTTTTAGAAAAGCCGAACCTTTTATAGTATTATTTTAGGTTTAACTTTCTGATCATATTCTTAAGGAAAATAAGCCATGAAAATTCATCGTCATATCATTTGCGATCATTACCACCCCTTTCTTATTAACTCTACTTTCTTTAGTCGCCAGTCAAGGCTGTTTGCGCACGCTGTCATTAAAATTCAAGACTACTCATGTTCCACCGGGAGATACACTTGTTCATAAAGGAGATGTTCTTTCGGCCCTCTACTTTATCGCTCGTGGCAGCATAGAAATTCTCTCAGGTCCTGACAACGATATTCTGGCAATTCTTAGTACTGGAGACGTATTTGGAGAACATCCGTGTGTCTATTCGACCGTGGGCAAGTCGAAATGTAATGTTCGTGCCCTTACCTACTGTGATCTGCACAAAATTCATCGAGAAGATCTTCTTGAGACTCTGGGCATGTATCCAGAATTTGCAAAGTCATTTTCAGAGGGTCTTGAGATAACTTTTAACCTCAGAGATGTAAGTTGTACAATAATATTGTTTTATCTAATAAATATGGACTATAAATGGACAGTTGCCTAAAATGTATTGTTAATCTGTTCACACATTCTCTAAAACGACACATTAATCTAGAGGGCCTATTGGTCTTTAGCATAGCTTTCCGATATAACTTTATCGCAATCTCAATCTAGTATATCTTGCAATTAAAGTTTACCTTCAGTTTAATAATCACTTATTTGCTGTATCGTTAATTAATACTGCTAGCTAATACATGAAAAAATGCGCAATTACTAGTTTAAATTCTTTATTTTTTACCCAGTAAATTTAGAGGATCTTCAGTAGCTAGTTCTCCACGACTTTCTTTGCTAACCTTCGTTTTTTTAGGATTCTCTAGTTATTCCTTCTTTGAGCGTTGGTGATTTTGGCGGGCCAGGGTTTTACGGCCTTCCCAAGTTCAATTCTAGGCCCATGCTTCCTCTTCTCTGTTCAGCCCCTGAGGATCTAAATAATCAGCAGCCAAGCCAGGCATTAGAACGATTTTGTAAAGATGGATCTGCCAAAGAATCTCTACACCGAAGAGGTATGCGTCCACAACCTATACTTAATAGGAAATAACAACTTATTCATTCTCATTTTTACCATCTGTAATAACTTATCTATTACTTGCTTCACTATTTCTATTATTTATACTCTTTTGTGGAATAATCTATTTAATTTAGTTATAAGTTATTAT